ATTGTCAGGTGTAGTCACAGCAATGACCCCACTCCTGGTAACAAATTCTGTCTGTTATTTTTTTTACTCATTGCTGGGACAAAATACTGACACCCAATATGAAGGAAGGAAAGGTTTATTTAGCTCACAGGTAGTGGAGGTTTTAGTGCATACGCTGCTATCTCCAAGGCAGATGACAGCAGTTTATGGTGGCAGAAAACAATGAAGAGCAGAGGAGGAGCAGTAGCTGCGACGTCTATCAAGCCTCTCTCTTTTCCTTCTACACTGACTACAAAGACTGTCACTCCTCTAAAAAAGTAGTGGTGGCTTTAAAGATTGGGCTCCTCCAAAGTGGTGGTTGCAAAGATCAAGATCCTCCAAGGAAGTGGCACAAAAAAGCTTTCCTCAACCCCTTTACATACCCTATAAATGCTAGGTCACTCTGGGGTGGGCCCTCCCCACCCTAGGGGTGGGGCTGCTGAGCAGATCCAGCTAAGCTTCTGACCTCTCAAATTGGCACGATACATCAGCTACCATAGGAGGAGAAGGTTATTTGGCTCTCAGTATGCAGAGATTCCAGTCCATAGATGGCTGGCTCCAAAGCAGGGTGGCATGGTAGACAGGAAGCAGGGGTGAAGGGAGAAGCAGGGAAAGAGGTTATAGACCCTTTCAGGCTGTATAGGTTAGTTTTTATTCATTGCTGGGACAAAATACCCAACACCCAAAGTGAAGGAAAGAAAGGTTTATTTATCTCACAGTTTGGGGAGGTTTGTCTATATTCTGCTGGCTCCCAGGTAGAGTAGCACATGGCAGTGAACAGCAGTTCATGGTAGCAGAAAACAGCAAAGAGCAAAGGGAAAGGCAGCAGCTGCGGCTTTTAGTCAGCCTCTCTCCCCTCCTTATATTATAAATAAGTTACCCTGGCCGGGGAGATGGCTCAGTGGAATAAGTGCTTCCCTGGCAAGCACAAGGACCTGAGTTCAATCCCTGGTTCCACCAAAAAAAGAAAGAAAAAAAAAAGTTACCCTGGGGCTGGGGGTGTAGCTTAATGGACTACCCAATAGGGCTGGACTCATGCAATGTCTATGCCCTCTTCTTGCACAGGATGAGGATATTTACAAACTAAGAATCCTGGCTCTCTGCTGAGTCATGTCATTAAACTTCTAAACTTAAGTTGACACAGTGTATCAACCAGTACACAGGCTATGCCCCAGTGACTCACTTCCTTTGACCAGATTCCACTGTCCAATATCACATTTAGCTATTGTTATGGCTACGTACCTAGACGTCCTCCCAAAGCTTCATGCAGTCATAGCTGAGGCTTTTCTGAGGTGGTTGGATTTAGGGTGTGTGAGTGTAGATTAAGAGTTTGATATTGGCATTAGAGGTGTGGCTAATGGAAGGCCCCCAGATGTGGGTGGCACTATTGGCACTAATTAATAGGCTCACAGCTTGGATGGAATAAAAAGGGACAGAAATAAGGCAAGTTTGCTGCTTTTCTGCTTGTTGCTGCTGCTGCTTTCTGTCTGCCATACCATGAACAATTTCTTCTCTGTGATGACCCTCTGGTATGCCACCTACCTTAGAGTTAGCTGACTACTGACTGAAATCTCTCTATTCTGCAAGGGGAAATAAACCTTTCCTCCTTTAACTTCTGTTGAGTATTGTGTCTCAGCAATGAGAAAATAACTAAGACAGCTAAAACCCACGACAGCATGTGGCTTTTGGGGGGACATCTAGATATAAACCAGACTATTCTGTCTCCCCCCCCAAAAAAAGACTTATGCACATCCCTTTATGCAAAAGGCTCATCCCTAAGGTTACCAAACAGTTCCAGCATTGCTGAAAAGCCTAAGTCTTCTCTGAGACTTAACACAAACTCTTGGCTTTGAGTACTATACAATTCAAAAAGAAGGTTAAACACTGCTGGCTGGCATCCAAAGGCACAGGTAAACATTCCCATTTCAAAAGAGAATGTCTTGGTTACTTTTCTTGTTGCTAGGACAAAATATCCTACACTCAAAGTTAAAGGAGGAAAAAGTTGGTTTAGCTCACAGTTTGTGAAAGTTTCATTCAGTCTGTGATAACTCCAAGGTAAAGTGGCACATGGCAAAGGCCCACAGTCCTTGGTGGTAGAACATATCAAAAGCAACAAATAGGGCCAGGGAGACAGCTCAGTAGAATAAACGCTTGCCTGGCAAGCCCAAGGGCCTGAGTTCAAGCCTTGGTTCCGCAAAAAAAAAAAAAAAAAAAAAAAAAAGCAACAAAGAGCAAAATAAAGAGGGGAACCTCTTAACCTGCCTTATGTTGTATGCAGGCTACCCACCTTTGTAGGGGTGTAGTACATCATCTTCATGCCCTCCTCTTGCACAGGCTCAGGATGTTTACAAAGTGAAGACCCTGGTTTCTCGCTGAGTCACTTAGTTAAACTTCTCAAGTTGACACAGTATACAACATCCTAGAGGACATCCTAGATGTCCTCTACATCCCAGGATGTATGACTGATGAGTTACTTAGTTAGGCTTCTAAACTTCTCAAATTATCAGTATGTACCAACCACTATAGGGGAGAATAGGCTGATAGAGTGCAATGGGATCAAAGCAAGACTGAAACCCAGCAGGGCAAATATCGAATCTTGCAACTGTGTCGAGCACCCAGAACAAACTGCAGTGCAATGGAAGCTCCTAGCCACTTGGGTGAGCCCACCCCTATGGTACTGCTGGTGATTGTGGTTCTCATGGCCTCCGTGGGGCTGGCTTTCCTCAGTTTTTGTAGATTTCCTGATCTTCCATGTTTCCAAAGTTTTCAACTTCCTTTGATACCCTCTGTGTGTTTGGCTTCACACTCACAGCTTCACACAATGCCCTCTCAGAGCCACAGTACTTGGTCTCCCAGGCCTTTGGCTGAAATGTGGGTGGAAGCCTCCCTAACCACATAACTCTTGCATTCGGCATGACTGTAAAACTAGTACTAGGTAGATGATGATAAGGTCCACTGCCAGCTCAAACAGTAGCCAGGCCCTCTTGGACCATGGCTCTAGAGGCCTCATGAGTGGCTGGATGGCTGAGCTCTGTGGACCAGATGTTGGGAAACCAGTTTTCTACTTGGTTTTCTGAAGCAGGGTGCTCTAGGCCTTTCTCTTCAAAGTCAAGTCTTTCACCTTTGCAACTCTGAGCCAGCAAGGATGGATGTGTCTTGCTTTGTCCTGTGACACTCTTGAGCTATTTTTTTCCATTGTCTTTGGTAAAGTACGTACTTGGCTTCTTTAATATTGATCTTCTTAGCAACCAAGAGAGCTTCCCTTCTAGGAAAACTAAAAACTTTGCTTTCTTGCTTTTTTTTTTTTTTTTTTTCAGACAGGGTCTTGCTAAGTCACTAAGCTACCAGGCAGGGCTTGAACTTTCACTCCTCCTGCCTCAGCCTCAGAGTGTTGGGACTGGCTCAAGTGATTTATTTTGGCAGCACATTCACTACTGAATTTCATCAGTTCAAAGTCCCAGTTTGTGTGTTAATAACTCATAACCCAGATGTCTTCCATCTATAGCTCATCATAATATTATATGTGTCAGTGCACACAGTGTCTGTTTTATAATTAACATGTCTTGGAGACAGCATACTGTCTTCATTGAACACTGTCTCCAAGTCACCCCACAGTCGAAGAGTTCTTATCCCCAATACCTACCTTCCAGACACATAGTCTGAGTTGACCCTTTACCTGTCCATCCTTGGGCCAAACCCAGTCATGGTTCTAAAGTTGGAACCAAACCTCAGGGCCAGTTGTGATGTGAGGGTGAGTCTTATAGGAATGTCACAAAGATACCCAACTCTCCTGAGAATGTAAGTGTTCAAGATTGGTAGACATTGTGGAGTTCAAGTCAATAGATACCTGGATCTACACCTCTGCAGTTTCATAGGAAATGGGTGGCATTTTTGTCTCTGGGCCTTGTGGGATGGTGTAGACACCTAGATCCAAACTGAGAATCTTCTATGTCCTTACTGCTGATCTCAGGCATCCAGAACAGAGCAAGACTGAAACCTTCACAGGCTCAGAGTTGCAAAAGTAAAAGACTTCGCTTTGAGGAGACAGTGCCCCAGGGAACCCTACGGAATTGGTTCCTCAGGAGTTTTGGTCCACAATGCTCATCCATCCAGGCATTGGGAGGCTTCTGGAGCCATAGCCCAAAAGGGTCTGGCTATTGCTCAAGTTGGTAGAAGACCTACCAGCACTGTGACCTTGGCCATGTCATTTGACCTCCCTTTTCTTCTGTGTAAAATGGATCATGGTGAGACTTGGCTGTGAGGACTTAGGACAGCATTCCAGAAACTGATCACAACACAGGGGCACAGGTAGTCTGCCTGGCTTTCTTTTCTGGGCTTCAGAATGCCCCAGAATGATCCTAGGGGAAAAGAGAACTCGCACAGGCTGAGTGAGCTGAGTGAGGCATGCAGCAAGAAGAAAGGGGCCCTCCCTCCCTGTCCTCTGAGAGGTTCTTCTGATGGTTGCTCACTGCCTTGGCAAGGGGAGCTGGTGTTGGATGAGGTCCGTGTTGCCTTCTGTACCCAAAAAGCTGCCTTCTGTATCCAAAATGCGTGCAGCAGGGGGAGGAGGTCAGTAGCTGGTGCAACCCAGGCCCAGCAGAGGTGACACCTGCCTCTGGCTGATGAGGCATCCCGGGCCACTGGGGGGATTCTATAGTGCTCTGACTTTCCTCCGTGAATGCAGTCTGCACTAGGCGTGCCCCCTGCAGTGGTGCGGGGCCGGGAAGGGACGAGGCCAACGGCTGCCGGGGTTGACCTGGCATTCTGTGCGCTCCGAGACCTCCTACCCTACGGCGCACGCCGCGCCCGCGCCCGCGCGCTCCCGCGCTAGCCTCGCCCGTGACGCATTTCCAACCCCAGGGAGGCGCGACCGGTTGGAGCGCGCGCCCGACAGCGGGGCGCGCGCATCGTGCACGCGCCCAACCACGTGACCCTCGTTGGCCAACCGGCGCGTGGGGATTTGGGGATAAAGCGCGGCCCCGCGAGCAGTTGCGGCGGGAGAGCGGCGGGGCCGAGAGCGTGACTTGCCCGCTCTGTACTGCACTTCCGCCACCCGTCGCCAGCCACCGCTGCCGCCACCGAGCAACCATGTCTGAGGAGAAGCCCAAGGTGAGCCGGGGTTCCACGCTGCGGGCCCCTTGCAGGACTCAGCCTGCGGGACCGCGCCCGGCCGCTGC